TCTCTTTCTATGTCTGTCCACATGGCTCTGGGCCAGGCCCCTGTTTCCTCAGCTCAGATTATTGAAGTCCTTTTCTGACTTATTTATTTCATTGTAGTCTCTTTTCTCTGTGGTATCTATTTTACATATCTCTTTGCGTCATGACCCTGCTCAAAAGTACTGACTGCCTCCACCTTATATAGCAGAGGTCCCAAACTTGAGCTCCAAGGCTGAACATAGTCTACAAATTGCCAGGCGCGGTGGCTCATGCCTGTAATCCTAGCACTTTGGGAGGCCGCGGTGGGTGGATCACTGGAGGTCAGGAGTTCAAGACCAGCCTGGCCATCTTGGTGAAACCCCATCTTAAAAAAAATAGTCTACAAATGTGTTTTATTACAATTCCACAATGCTCTGACCATTATTTTTAAATTTGCTGGAATCCTTTCAGTGGTCCATATGTTTCACTGATCTGTGTTACCTGCCTGGCCTCCAGGCTTCCAGGTATGACTGAGTAGACTTTGCATTTTATAACTCCAGAGGGCACTGTGCACATAACATCTAAAGTTGTGTAGTGCACAACCTATACAATCCACACAACTCTAGTTGGTGGCCCTACAGAAACCTATGGACGTTTAGTGTAAACTCTAGTCTGTAAAACTACTATCATGTCTAGCCCTGCCCACCTTATCGATTAACCATCATGTACCATAGTCTGGAAAAGGCTGACATTCCTAAAAGCTTTGCATTCTAAGATAAGCCATGATGAGAACCAGAAATATTTGGAAAGCCTTGAATTCTAAGATAACCCATAAAGTTATTATTTAGGCAAAAGACTGAAACTTTTTGTTTTTCTTTTATCAAAACCACCCCAAAGTTATCCAATCAGAATAACAATCAGCTATCTCCTGACCTTTTGGGGTTTTTTGTTTGTTTTTGTTTTTTTGGTTTTTTGGAGTCAAGGTCTTATGCCCAGGCTAGAGTGCAATGGTGCAATTTTGGCTCACTGCAGCCTCCACCTCCAGGGTTCAAGTGATTCTCCTGCCTCAGCCTCCCAAATAGCTGAGATTACAGGTGTCCACCACCACACCCAGCTAACTTTTGTATTTTTAGTAGAGACAGGGTTCCACCATATTGGCCAGGCTGGTCTTGAACTCGTGACATCAAATTATCCACCCGCCTCAGCCTCCCAAAGTGCTAGGATTATAGGCGTGAGCCACTAGGCCTGGCCACAAAGTGTCTCTTTTGTCAGGTGAGTTTTTAAGTATTAGAAATATGCCATGAAGTGAGCTGGGCTTGGTGGCTCAGCCTGTAATCCTAGCACTTTGGGAGGCTGAGGTGGGCGGATCACTTAAGGTCAGGAGTTCGAGACCAGCCTGGCCAACATGGTGAAACCCCATCTCTACTAAAAATACAAAAATTAGCTGAGCGTGGTGATGCACGCCTGTAATCCCAGCTACTTGGGAGGCTGAGGCAGGAGAATCACTTCAACCCAGGAGGCAGATGTTGCAATGAGCCCACATTGCACCACTGCATTTTAGCCTGGACAACAGACAGAATAAGACTTTGTCTCCCAAAATAAATAAATAAAAAATGAAGAAAAACTATTGGGTTGGTCATTGACACTTTCCACATCTAAAGAAATTTATCTTGTTTTCAAAAAGGCAAAAAAAGGAGAGTTTCCTCCCCCACGTTAAAATACAGTAAAATCTCTGAGTAATTCATAACAAATAAAGCACCTTCACCTACCATAAATCTCCACGTGGTGTTCCAATCTGTTGAGTGACTGAATGCAATGACAGCTTTGGCAGTCCCCTTCCTTCATAAACTCTGTGCAGTCCCTCTACCTCACCCCAGATGCCTTTTGGAGTTTTCATTCTTTATTATAAAAAATAGTTTCTCAAACTTTTATATGCGGTGTAAAGAAAATCTATACCCTTACTACTACACTAGGGGCACAGGGTGGGGAAGAGACTCAGAGAATACTGGCCGGGCGCGTTGGCTCACGCCTGTAATCCCAGCACTTTGGGAGGCTGAGGCGGGTGGGTCACAAGGTCAAGAGATCGAGACCATCCTGACCAACATGGTGAAACCCTGTCTCTACTAAAAATACAAAAATAAGCTGTGCATGGTGTTGCAAACCTGTAGCCTGAGCTACTTGGGAGGCTGAGGCAGAAAAATCCACTTGAACCCCAGGAGGTAGAGGTTGCAGTGAGCCAAGATCACACCACTGCACTCCAGCCTGATGACAGCGAAACTCCATCTCAAATAATAAGAGCTACTGTTTGCTGAACACCTATGTAACTCAGTACATTCCATCCTCAGAAACAACCCTTATAAACTGTTATCCTCATTTTACAGATGAGGAAAAGGAGGCAGAAGAGTCAACTAATCTAAGAGACCTTGAAGTCCTAGCATTTTCCTCGTGGACCATTTTCCCCTGCAGGTCCCCTTTGCCTGCAGTTCTTCCTTCCACCTCTTCCTGTGCAGGATCTTAGCCCCTAACTGTTCCTCCCATCCAGGGTGATAAATCCAACCTGCCCAAACAGTGGCTGCTCATCTGCAACAATGATTCCTCTCTCGTTCTTTTATTTTTTTTCTTTTTAATTTTTAATGACCAAAACAAAGCATCTAAAAGCTCAGCTTCTAGAAGAACCACTTGTTCTTGCCTATCTGGTATAGCTCTTCAAACTTGACCTCGGCCTCCTGCCAGGCCTTGGGTTTAAGAGCAGGATCTCTGAAGACATTCTTATTGCTGACAGTTCTGTCCAAGGGGATATCCACAGAGTACCTTGTGGGCATCAGATGATTGTAGTTATAAACTTTCAGAAAAGACTTGATCTTTGACCTCTTGGCAATCTTCTTCTTGCCCATGGCAGCTGTCACTTTGCGGGGATTGTGGTCAATTCCAGCCACCAGAGCATGGGTGTAGGGGTGATCTGAGGTGCCATCATCAATGTTTTTCGCAATGATGGCTTTGCGTCCAGAGTAGCATCCAGCCAGAACAAGCACCACCTTCCCCAGTTTCATGAACTTGCCCGTTTTGGCAGCAGCTACTCGGGCCTACAACAAAAAGGACTCCACCCTCTTTCAAGAATCTCTTTGACCAACTCTTCCCCAAACTGGCAGGATTCTGGCTGACAGTCCCTTCTCCCACTCCAGCTAAAGTTTGATAAAAATTCTTGCCATTTCCTCCCCCAAGACAGGCCATTTTTTAGCTCCTTCTCAGGCCTGACTTTTTTTTTTTTTTTTAGATTGAGTCTTCCTCTCTCGCCCAGGCTGGAGTGCAGTGGCTCTATCTCTGCTTATTGCAACCTCTGCCTCCTGGGTTTAAGCGATTCTCCTGCCTCAGCCTTCCGAGTAGCTGGGACTACAGGTGTGTACCACCACGCCTCGCTAATTTTTTGTATTTTTAGTAGAGATGGGGTTTCACCATGTTAGCCAGGATGGTCTCTATCTTCTGAGCTCATGATCCACCTGCCTTGGCCTCCCAAAGTACTGGGATTACACGTGTGAGCCACCGAGCCCGGCCAGGCCTGACATTTTGAATAGTCTATGCTAACAGTGCTCTGACTGATTTTTTTTTTCCACATTAATTTCCCCAAAGCCACACACATTCACACAGTGAAGAGATTCATAGCCTGATCTCTTCACTGCTGTACTGTACTGGTAGTTTGCAACTTAAATGTCACTGGTTGAATTGTTTGTTTGCAATTGAAAACATCCTTTCTCATAGAAGTGATTGCATGGTCTGAAGCCAGTCTTTTCCGTTTTTATAATCATCCTGAAGCTGCCATAACTGGAGGAAACAAGGCAGTAATGAAATAAAAGATTGGATTTGAGTGAATGAAAGAAACCGTTTTGGTAGAGTGACCATATTGAAGCAGGAGCAGCTGCAAACAAAACTCTCCAACACTGAACAGGGAGGTAGTGATTTATTCGGCCAGGGGCTGTGGCAGGTGAAAATACCTTAACAGGAGCTCCTCGACAAAGAAAATCCTTGCCCTTTTAAAGGCTTACAATTCTAGAAATTACATGTGAAAAGGTCTTGATTCATGAAGTAGGTGGGGATTTGATCCTGTTTATGCAAAAACAATGCCTTCTAGAAAGATTTCTCCACACCATGCCTGCGATCTACAGAAGTGTAATTAAGTGTGGCGTCCGGTCTGCCAGCCTTGACTTCTATTGAAATGCAATGTAGAAGTCTAGGGGAAAGGAGTCTCAGAAGCTTAAGAAGATTAAGGGTCTCCTTCCTCAATATAATTTACTATCCAACTAGGATACTCTGGAGAGTGAAGAGGTGCTATCAATAATTACACCAGGAAGGCCAGGCACGGTGACTTACACCTGTAATCCCAACATTTTGGGAGGCTGAGGCAGGAGAATAGCTTGAAACTGGAAGGTAGAGGTTGCAGTGAGCTGAGATCGAGCCACTGCACTCCAGCCTGGGCAACAAGAGCAAAACTCCATCTCAAAAAAAANACACCAGGACAATAGGCATAATCAGAGGCTATCCTGGACACATCAGGACATATATTCACTCTAGGTTTAGGTCACAGCAGAATGGTTTTGAGCAATTCACCCTAACCTCCTTGAGCCTCAATTTCTTTATTTTTTTCTTTTTTCTTTTTTTGAGACAGGGTTTTATTCTGTGACTCACACTAGTGTGCAGTGGTGTGATCTGGGCTCGCTGCAGCCTCAGACTCCTGAGCCCAAGCAATCCTCCTGTGTGGGGGTTCACTCAGGGTAGTGGCCAAAAATATCACAGGAAAAATATTAGAGATAGCTTTAGGGAATAGTCACAAACCTTTTTGGAAGGCCAAAGGTTTACATAGCTTGTAATGACTGAATGTGTTGAAGGCCACCGGCTCTTACCCTAAGGCATTAGGACAGTAAAGTAAATATTAGAAATTGTAAAAGAAGTTTATCCAGATAAGTCTGTTTACCCCCACCTCCACTAGCAAAAACCTTTTCTTAACTGCCTTCTACTGAGGGGGTCGGCAGAAGTTAATCACCTTCTACTGGTGTTTATCCAAAGACCCTTGCCCTTTGGTATACTAAATAAACGCCTGGAGTAGGGGCTGCTAGAGGCTGGCATTCTTTTTTGCTGAGTTGTGCTCAAGCCTAGCAGCCTTAGGCGACACTGAGAGATAGACAGATGAGGCTGTGTGTATGGAGGGTTGGCAGTGTACGAAAGGAACTGTGATATGGATCTGGGAGTTCATATAGGAAAGAGACAAACATTCCCCTCCTCCTCAAAGGGGAGAGAAAAAGCTTTGCTCCCTAAGGTAAACCAATTTTCCTTAGGAACAAAAGGGAAAGGATTTTGTAAATTCTTACCTTTTGGAATGTAAATATCTATCTCAGCTGGGAAGATAAAACCAGCCTCTTTGAGGGTTTTCTCCACTTTTGTTATACAAACTCATGGAGAGATAGTCCTCTACATTCTTTTGGAGGTCTTTTTAGGGAGGAGGGGAAGTTCCCTATCCTGGAATGTAAGGCTCTGACTCCAGGTAGGATAAGAGAAGTTTTGGCCAGGCGCGGTGGCTCAGGCCTTTGTAATCCTAGCACTTTGGGAGGCTGAGGTGGGTGGATCACCTGAGGTCAGGAGTTCAAGACCAGCCTGGCCATCATGGTGAAACCCCATTTAAAAAAAAAAAAAAAAAAAAAAAAGGGAAGTTTTATTATCCTTTAAGTGGAAGCCAATGGCTCTATAATGAAGGTTGTAGAGAACAAATATTTATGGGGAAATGAGAGCAAGCATTCTCATTTTCATGTAGATCAATATCTGTGGTTCAAGAGGCTGAGGTTTTGCAGGAACACTAAGTAATACAGGGAAAATGTATTTCCCACAGACTACAGTGCAAAACTTCAGAATAGATAAGATTTGTCTTCAGTTACACATGGACATCCCTTCTGCCTCCTTCCCTCCCATTGAGAGCATCTTTTCTTTGACCTTTGGTCCTCTCATGGGTCTCTACCCTGTCACTTCTATTTTGGAGTATGGACCCGCCTTCCCAAAAGACTCTCTGTTACAATATTGCTTTTCCCAAATTTTAAATCCCATACTTTTGGAGTAGCTCATCTCAGCCGGTTGTTAGAAGGAAAGCAAATGAAGTCAAAATTAGTAATCAACGAAGTATTAGCTTTTATTATTGCAGGAGATTTTTTTTAAGAGTACCAATACTTGTCACGTGGGTGGGGAGATACTGTAAAAATAAAATGAGATGAACAAAAAGGTTTGTGAAAGCATACTTGTAAGTCATGAAATACCATATAAATGAAAGTAGGTGTGTTTAATAATTCTAAATCAAAAATAAAATTCTAAGCACCCCCCACCTCTACCTCCCCCATCCCCACCCCCACCCCCTCCAAACATCTGTATAGACTTTCTCCTGGCCAGGGCACTTTTAAAATTTAACCTGAAAGACTGGTTCAGGCCATGATGGAAAGTGAGGGTCAAACATGCCTTATGATACCTCTCCAGCATTAACATCGACACAGATTTAAGTCTGATAAGAAACACTGTACAGCCTATTGTCTCTGAAGCCCACTATCTGAAGGCCTCCTCTGCAAATCAGAACTTTGGTCTCCATAATCTGTCATCTTATTTCCTTTCTATCCATCCCAGGTCTTTAGATAACCAATTGTCAACCAGAAAATGTTTAAATCTACCTACAGCCTGGCAGCCTCTCCTCTAACCCCCTTCCTGTTGTCTCGCCTTTCTGAACTAAACCAATTTATTTCCTAAATATTTTTGATGGAAGTCTCATTTCTCCCTAACATGTATAAAACAAACCTGCCCCTCAATCACCTTGGGCACATGTTCTCAGGATTTCCTGAGGGTTATGTCACGGACCATGATCACTCATATTTGGCTCAGAATAAATCTCTTCATGGCCGGGCGCGGTGGCTCAAGCCTGTAATCCCAGCACTTTGGGAGGCCGAGGCAGGTGGATCACGAGGTCAAGAGATCGAGACCATCCTGGTCAACACGGTGAAACCCCGTCTCTACTAAAAATACAAAAAATTAGCTGGGCATGGTGGTACGTGCCTGTAATCCCAGCTACTCAGGAGGCTGAGGCAGGAGAATTGCCTGAACCCAGGAGGCGGAGGTTGCGGTGAGCCGAGATCGCGCCATTGCACTCCAGCCTGGGTAACATGAGTGAAACTCCGTCTAAAAAAAAAAAAAAAAAAAAAAAAGAATAAATCTCTTCAAATATTTTACAGAGTTTGAGTCTTTTCATCGACATAATTACTCACTGAGTCCTGGGAAGGAGAAGACACTTATGACAATGGATTTTAATACGTATTATGTTGACTTTTTACGTATAAAGCGACTTCCTGCGCTTTAGTGCATAGGTTTTCATTTTCCTGCCTCTGTTTCATGGCCATAAGGTAGCTGCTGTACCCACAGACTCACATTTACATTCCTGGCAGAAAGAGGAATATAAAGTAAAGGATGAAGAAGGCAAAAAAGCTTTCTTTTATTTTTTATTCTGAAAAGGACCCTACCCCTAGAGACTGCCACCTTCATCTTATTGCTAAGAGCAGCGTCCCATGACCAGTCCAAGTGCAAACAAGGATGGAAAGATGAGTTTTTAAATTGAACACATGGCTATTTCAAACAAAAGCAGGGCTCTATTATGAAAAATGGTGTGTGTGTGTAGGTGTGTGTGTGTAAAGGGGGATATTTTTTAAATAGGCAACTAACAGTGTTAGCTCCATCCAGCAATTTTACCTCCAGGAATTTATCCTATAGTAATATTTGAGGACTCAGCGCTGATTTTTTTTATCTTGCCCAAATTCTTATCTAAGGGGTCTGGGGAGTCATGTCCTACAAACCTTCAATTCTCATCAGAGGGGTTTTATTTAACCCTGTATATTGTGACTTACTTTCCAATCTGACTCTGGCATAACAAGGAATAAAATCAAAATATTTTACCCCAAAACATGTTTCTTTGCCATATCTTGAATTGGCCCTGCAAAGCCATCCCTTATGGGAAAAATTCACATTCTATAGAGAATCCCTTTGCCCCTTAGTTTTCCTTCCTTTCCAGATCCAGGAGATAATCAGCTAAGAGCCAGATACCCATTTATGTCCAGTAAGAAACATTTTACAACCTCCTGTCTCTGAAGTCTGCTATTTGAGAGCTTCCACTGCACAATAAAACTCCATCTCCACAGTCCTTT